CCGTCATGTCATCGAAAACCATAGTTTGGCAGTGGCAGCATGTTGTAGTAGGGGAGTTCGGCGTTTTCTTTTTTTGTTGGTGCTCCAATTTCATAAAGGTACCATTATCTAACCAAAACAACCACAGAACCAAAATCCAAAGTTCTTGAAGTACAATTCAACTTGCACACCTAGAATGTAATCAACTATGAAAACAAAAAATAATTATTGGTTATTTTCTCTTACCTAATGAAGAATGAAGTTCGGGTTTCTAGGGGCTATTTATCAGAAAAGTTAGAAATTTCCTAACCGACGCCATATTGAAATTAAATAAACTAAACAATTGATAGTTATGCGACGTTATCTTTCAACAAATAATCTTTCTCACCAACTAATAAGCACTGGTAGGGCGCAGAGATCCTTTCGAACACAAAATGGCACAACTAGGTGTAGCGAAAAACCACAAATTGACAAATCCTCAACACAGCACGACGCCATTACGAAATAAAATTCCGCCCAACAACACAAGCGTAGCGCACAGGACGACCCGTTCGACTGATTCTGCCCGTCTGCGCTGGCTGCGGCGCCGACCCGACGTGGTGGCGTGCCCTCCTGTCCTGACCGGTACAAGTACAAATGCCTGAGCACGCGCCTGCGCCATACACTTCGGCTTCACGAATATTCACGATGTTTGAAAGTTGAAAAGAGAGAAGACTTTTATCAATACATATTTTATTTTATTCCAAGTTGTAAGTCGAATGAAAAATTAAATATTGCTGTTGTTACAATACAAAATTAATATTAAGTTCCTTATTATCTATATACATTACAGGTATATTATGGAATTTGAAATTAGTTTGTGTGTGTGATAGAGACATTTTCAGAAATCACACAAAATTGGCAAATTTAATACTGGGTCCTACCGGTCTGAGGTCCTACCTAGTTTTGTAAAATAATGTTAGCCATTTTTTAGCTGTAATAAGTATCTAATTTTGAGAACAAAAAATCTTTTTGTCGATAGATATTTTCGAAAGGATGTTTCTAAAACATTTCAGGACAATCATCCTAGAGATGTTACATTACAAACATCGCAGCGATGTACCATTTATGTCGGAAACATAAGGACCTTAATGGTACATAAATAGGATGTTTCTGGGAGATCGGTGTTATTAGGGTAATAGTTCGATTTGCACCCAGGAACACAGTAGTTTCATGGCATCTGGAACAAGTTTAAATATCTTAGGTAATATATCGAGAACTATGCTCTTGCAGACAAATATTAATACTTATTGTTTTTATTGTTTTACCTTACCTTACCTTCATTTTTGCTCCTGTACCCATTTGCTAAAAATTTGCAATCAAAGCACAAAGGAACAGGTATCAACTAAATATGGGCAATATATTGGTGTGTTTCTATCCACTTTTTCGTCAATAATGCCCATAAAAATACTAAATTGCAACAATACACAATGAAAGCAATACACAGAAACACATAACCCAATAACAAAATAGCACCATACGCGACGTTGCCGTCATTTCCAACTTCGTGGCTTGTTAACTATAGGAGGCTGTGCCTACGACCATCTTTTGACATTGTCAAACTGGTATTTTTAATTTGAAGTTTTTATTCATAATTTTGCATTCTATTTATTTCAAAATCTTACGTGAAATAGTCATGACGAATACCACTCGAGAAAAAATTGTGTAGGCAAAATTGTTCTCAAGGTTTTATTCAAGTTTGTTGCTTTTCGGCAATTTCGCTCATGCCTTTTTTGATAAAATCAATCTGACGGCTGGTGATTTTGTCAAAAATGTCATTCGCGAAATTGCCAAGCAACAAACTTTCATACCTTTCGAAAATTTTGCCGACAAAATTTTTTCTCTTGTGATATTATATGTGAATATACTGCAATTTCAATTGTTGCAGCAGTCATGTGAAGCAATTAAAATTTCAGTATGTTAATGAAAACAATAAAAAAAGCTATCATACCAAATTTCAGCGCTGTGCGACGATTTTAATTTTTTTCGACTTTTTGAAAAATTCCGCGCGACGTGTTCAGGCCAATAAGTCATTGAGTAATTAACGAAAAGAAAAATCCGCTGGGGCAATATGAGAGGAATAAATGGGCTACCGATTGTCGAAAACTGTCACCAAATATTTCGCCCCGTTTAGAGATTACAGTGAATGCAAGAAAGGGGTAGTTTTCGATGCAATATACAACTTCCTCGCACATTAGCCAAGTCCGTGCTCGCTTAATTTTTAAGCAAAAAATTCGAACAAAAAGGCATTGGAGAGTGCATTTCATTGGCAATAATGTGGTTTTTAAAAAATTGAAATCGGATTATGCATTTAGCCGCTGTTGCATCAAACGCGCGCAAACAGGTAAAACGTTGATTCAGTGACCTTGAATAAAAACATGCTAGTATTCAAGACGCTGCAGAAAAAAAGCTATAGAAGATAAAGGGGTGCTGTCGCTGAGTTTTTTATAGCAAAAAACTTCAGCTACAAGATTCATTTGAAACTTTTTGCTATTGGACCATCCTTTTGAGCAGCGTTCTCCATAAACCGCAAATTACCCCTAAAAACCACCCCTAACTAAAAACCCTATGGAAGTACAAGGTCGCAAACTTAATATGATCCCCCCAAAAAATGTTAACTTCTAATTATGTTGAGGTAAACTTCCTTCATTGCTCGGCCTATAAGGAAAATTCACTTCTTACATTTTAATTTTTTTCTGGAACACTGGCATAGGGAAAAATTTGAAAATTTTCCAGGAAAAAGAGATAAGTGAGGAACTCATAGTGAAATTTCGAAATTTTCCAGTGAAAAATCACTCCAGGAAAAATTCTGGAAAATTAACTTTTTCAAGTAAAATTAAAGAAAATTCATCCTTTGACATTTCAATTTTTTTCTAGAAAACTGGCAAAAAAGAAAAAAGAAAGTCAGAGGAGTTCATTATAAGAAAATTTTGAAATTTTCCAATGGAAAATCGGTCCAAGAAAATTTCTGAAAAAATAACTTTTTCAAGTAAAATTAAGAAAAACTCATCCTCTCACATTTCAATTTATTTCTGGAAAACTAATAAAGCAAAACTTGTGAAATTTTTCCAGGAGAAAGAAGAAATGAGGAGATCATTATAGGAAAATTTCAAAATTTTCTAGTGAAAAATCACTCCAAGGAAAGTCCAGAGGAAAGTTCTGGAAAATTGACTTTTTTAAGCAAAATTCATCCTTTCACATTTCAATTTTTTTCTAGAAAACTGGAAAGCAAAAATTGTGAAATGTTACCAGAAGAAAGAGGAAAGTGAGGAACTCAAAGTAAGAAAATTTCAAAATTTTCTAGTGAAAAATGACTCCAGAAAAAATTCTGGAAAATTGAGTTATTTAAGAAAAATTAAGGAAAATTCACCCTTTCACATTTAAAATGTTTTTTTTTTGGAAAACTGCCAAAGGGAAAATTTTCCAGGAAAAAGAGAAAAGTGAGGAGCTCATTATAGGGAAATTTCGAAATTTTCTATTGAAAAATCACTCCAGGAAAAATCAAAGAAAATTGACTTATTTAGGCAAAATTAGGGAAAATTCACCCTCTTACATTTTAATTTTTTTCTGGAAAACTGGCAACGGAAAAATTTTGAAATTTTTACAGGAGAGAGAGGAAAGTGAGGAGCTCATTAAAGGAAATTTTCAAAATTTTCCATTAAAAAATCACTCCAGGAGAAATTTATTTATAAGTATATAGTTTTGAATAAACTCTATTCTAAGTTAAAAAATGTATTACAAAACAATAATTTCAAAGGTGCTCTATGAATTAATCTATGACTTAACTATTTCTCTAAGTTATGACGTAAATAAGAACCTTTGTGCCGTGCAACGACCTATACAGGGTGTCCCACGGTGGATGGCGTATTAGACGTTTATAGAGAACTAAAAAGCGGATCATTTTGAAAATTTGGCAACCGGGATAAACGACCATGATCTACACTTTAAAAATATTTTTGATCATGCGGTGTTGCCGCTTGTACTCTAAACCAGTGGCAACATTGCTATTTTAGATGGAACACCCTATATTTGATTGCATATTTGGATTCTACGTAAAATTCTGAGCAGATTTCATGTGATACCCTATACTTAAGTTCAACTGTTTTGGAAATATTGACAGTTGAAAATTGACTTTTTGCAACTTTGACAGACTGTAAAACCTGACCGGTTAATTTTAGAGGAAAACCGTTTTCACATTCGTATCTTAGATTTTCATAAACTATCATTTGACACCAACTTTGAATTTAGCCGGAGATTAAATTTGGCTGGAATTTTTAATCATGGGTTAAATTCAAAGTTGGTGTCAAATGATAGTTTATAAAAATCTAAGATAGGAATGTAAAATCGATTTTGCTCTAAAATTAACCGTTCAGGTTCTACAGTCTGTCAAAGTTGCAAAAACTCAATTTTCAACTGTCAATATTTCCAAAACAGTTGAACTTAGGTATAGGGTATATCACATAAAATCTGCTCAGAATCTTACATAGAATCCAAATATGCAATCACATACAGGGTGTTCCATCTAAAATAGCGATGTTGCCACTGGTTTAGAGTGGAAGCGGCAACACCGCATAAACAAAAATATTTTGAAAGTGTAGATTATGGTCGGTTAACCCGGTTGTCAAATTTTCAAAATGATCGGCTTTTTAGTTTTCCATAAACGTCTAATACGCCATCCACCGTGGGACACCCTGTATGTTTGTTTGAAATTTCAGACATAATTTAAAAAAAAAAAAAAAAACAAATGATGACGTAAGTACAACTCTTTATGAAACTAACTTTTTTTTACGCGTCTTATTTCCTTTCCATCAAACCACATCAAAAAAAAAAATGATGCTGCAAAACCCCTCAAATTTGGAGCCTAGTTGCGCTTATGAGCACAACTAGTAAAGAGTCAGTATAACCAGTGCAAAGTCAGTATAACTGGTGCAAAGTCAACACAATAAGTATAGTCTAGTCAGCACTGGCATAAAAACGACAAATCAATTGACATCTTTCCAGTTTATTTAAGAAAAACAGAATATAATATTTACAAAAAACAATCAACTAGTTGTCATCATCGAATCTAATTTTTTTATTTTGAGTCACATCCAGGTCGATTTTTCTCTTGTCTCTAAAATTGAGGCCATGCTTGACGAATCTCGCCGCGGCCGATTTATCCAATTTCGGTCTTATGGTTTGACGTTTCTGAGCCTGGAAAGTAAAACAAAATTCAATAAACTGTTACTATATGCTTTTCACTTATTATTGGCATAGCATTATCCATGGAAATTTGACAGGTTGAGCCTCGTATAATAATGACATTTGATGACAAAATATTTTTCAAATTTCAGGGTTATGAAACACAAAGACAAGTTTCCAGAATGTGTAAAATATCTGAGTAAATTCAAATAGTAAAATTATTCAATTTATTAATTAAACGTAACCATAACAGTAAGCTCAATAGCATAAATATGTTTTTGCAGTAACTTTTTTTTCGGGGTTGGTCCCTGAGATTTTTCCATCACGATATTTTTCTTCTTCCTGGTCCTCTCTTTCCAAATATCTTCCCTTGCAGGATCGATTTTAACAAAGCCTTATCTTTTTGAAAGGGTTGTAAGGCATGGGAGGGTAGGTAAGATTTCGACAATTTTTACATAAGGCCATTTTTTGAGAAAGTGTTAATATACTTAACCCCCATGTCATTTCAATAGGATTATATTGGCAATGTTAAGGAGGTAATCTAAGAAATTCGTGTCCGTGGCTTTTCAAAATGTCGTCAATTTTGTATTGTTTTGGTCTATTCCGAAATGGTTGAGTTAGGTCCCATAGTTGTTTTTTGGTCATTTTTGTGTCGAAGTCTACGTTATGTTTAACCAACCATTCTTGCATTTTGTCTTTCTTTGAAGAGAATGAAGGTGGTTTATCCTGCCGCTCTGAATGATATGGAGCGTTGTCCATGATTATTACACATTTCTCTTCAAATATATATAATGCAGGAATTAGTTGATCAACGACCCATTTTTGGAATATGTCCGCGTTCATGGTATTGTGGTAGACTCTGTCATTGTTTCTTGAATCTACAAAAAAATCGCACCCATCTAGAAACCCAGAACTACTCCCCGCATGCAAAATAGTGAAACGTTTCCCCTCTGTCTTAATTTTGGATGGGTTGCTTTTCATATCAGATTCGTGTATCCATTGATGAGCTCCGTTTTGGTAGATCCAAGTTTCATCTAAATACACGAATCTAATATTTTCGTTTGAATGTTTATATTGGAGGTATTTCCGCAAAAATGTAATTTCGGAAGCAAGAACATGTTTCTGCTCACATAAAATTTTGCGTCCATTTACTGCTTTAAATTTATATCCCATAGATTTTAAAATTTTATATAAACTTGTTTGCCCTCCCTTGAATTCCAAATTTTCTTTTGCGTATGTCAGTAATGTTTGTAATGTAAAATATTCATTTTTAGAATTGTATTTCCAAATTTGTCGTAAATCTTCTTTAAACATTCGGTCCATAATAGCGTGCTGGGGCCTTTGCTATTTATTATATATATTAATGACATAATTAAAAACGTAAAAAATTGTACCACATATCTTTTTGCTGACGATGCCTTATTCTATTATTCCACAAAAGATCTGGGCCAACTTGAAACATCACTTAATCAAATATTGGATGATGTGTATCAGTGGTGTAATGTTAATGATTTGAAGGTCAATATTTCTAAAACAAAGTACATGATTATTGCAAGGGAATCCATTTACAAACAGCTATTGGCTATGGATTGCAAATTATTGTTGGGCAGCGACACTATTGAAATGGTAACAAAAATTAAATACTTAGGAATTTGGATTGACCATAAACTAGATTTTAAAAGTCATGCATTAGAAATAATTAAAAAAATCGCTTTTAAAGTAAATTATTTATCTCGCTGCTCTCCATACTTGTCTACTTGGACTAAAAAAACTATATTTAATGTATTAATACTTCCACATTTCCATTATTGTTCTAGTATTTTGTTTCTCTTCAGACAAAATGAGCTCTCAAGATTGCAGAAATTGCAAAACAGAAGTATGAGGGTGATACTCAAAAAACCAAGGTTAACACCAATAAAGGATATGTTAAAAGAACTTCAATGGCTGCCAGTGCGGGAGCTTCTTCTGTTTAACACCCTAACATTCATTCATAAAATAAAAATTGGTCAAGCTTTGCAATATTTGTTAGGCAAAATTATGTATGCTTCTGAAGTGCATCAATATCATACGCGCCACAGAGATTTTTTTTTTTTATATCCCAAGGTTAGATCAGGAAAGGTCGCAAAACTCATTATATTTTAAGGGCTTGAGTAGGTATAATGATCTGCCAAATAATGTTAAGTCTATGAAAACAGTGAATTCTTTTAAAAAAGTTCTCAAAGATTATATGCTAAGTGATGTTAACTTATAAGTAAGTAGTATGTGTCACTTGTATTGTATCAGTGTAATAATTTTTTATCATTGTGTTATTGACTGTAGATTTTAAATTATTACATGAAAATTGTTTTTTAATTAAATTATAAATTAGCTTTAGTAGAATTTCAATTGATAACTGTAACTGTATAACTGTAAATTAGTCTTGACTAAATAAAGGATTTATATATATAATAGTCTTTGTCTTTTTCGGTCGGCCTAAAGGTTTTTTGATTGTATATTGTCCAGTCAAAATTCTTTGAATAGTCCTGGTTCCCAATTAAAATTAAAGGAAAATGTTGGTTGGGTAAGAAATGGCTTCACATCTACAGTTAAGTTATACAATATATCTGCAAGTTGGGCTTCAATAGTTCCCTGGAGAGCCTCTGGTTTATTTTTTTTCAAATGACCATGACATTTTAATATTTCCCTTTTTTTTTCTGAGATTATTTTCGGCATCTTCAATACGAAAGAAATTTGACAATGCTGAATTTTAAAAAATGTCATCAGATTTTGCAGGTACGCAAAATAGTTAGGTACCGTTTATAATATAGCATTATTGAAAAATGTGTCAAATTTGATTTGCCAGATAGGCCAGAAAATTTTAATACCGCGGCACTTACGAAATTATGTAAACCACACTTAAAACTGTCTAGAATTTGACATATACTGTCATTATTATACGAGGGTCAACCTGCCAAATTTCCATGGATAATGCTACGCCAATAATAAGTGAAAAGCATATAGTTGTATTCCTTTCACACCTAGGAAGAGCTCCGGGGCTTCACGTGCTTATTCCTTTCGAAAAATGTTTGTTGCACCAGGCCTCTGTTCCCTGCAAATCGGGGGCGACTGAACACCTGAGCGAGTAGCTCGAGTGTTTCAAACTCTTGAAAGGAATACAGCTACTGAGAAGCATCAATTTGAATAATGGTTACTCAATAGCAACACTGTAACTGTTACCCAGTACCAACCATGTAACTGAGTAGCAACAATCTACGAATCTACCTTTACATTGTTGTTATAGTTACTGATTAGTAACAACTGTTACCGAGTAGTAACTTTGCAGTAGTAACTGAGTAGCAACAATGTAATGTTACCAAGAACCAAAAATTTACCAGTTACTAAGTAGTAACTAGTAACTGTTAGTGAGTAGCAACAATAAATGATCACAACAACTGAAAATGTAAAAATATTCTCAGGGGGCCATGGGCATCAACTAACCTGTTCGACTTTGACCATGTATTCCCTGATCCTGTTCAATTGGACTTTGACACCGAGATCGACTGGATTCACGCCGTGTAACTTCGAGTGAATCCAGAACATCGAATTGACGGCGTAGACGAGAAACAAATCCAAGTCGATTTTCTCTTTCAGCGAAGGCAATTTTTCGGGATCGATTTTCAGCGCCGTGTCAACTGCTTTTCGGATTTTTTCGACGCTGCCGTGCAAATCGTCGAGCCGATTCTTCATCGATAAGTCTTCGATCGGCTCGATTTCGTTCATAATTATTTATTATTTGATTTGTTTTTCATCAAAACATTCAAAACAAAACAAATTTTAGCAGTAGTAGTGAGGTTAGGATTTTTACTTTTCAATTGACGTTGACAGGTGACAGCAGTTTCAACTAGTTGTAGTCCTTTCAAGAGTTTGGAACATTCGAGCTACTCGCTCCGGTGTTAGTCGACCCCGATTTGAAAGGAACAGTATGCCTTTCGAGCGAAGAGTTTGAGTTCGCGCTTGAGCACTTCAGGTGCAACAGACTCTTTTCGAACGGAATAAGCGCGTAACGCCCCGGAACTGTTCCGGAGCTCCTCCTAATCCTAGGTGTGAAAGGAAACGTTTGTTTATTTGTGTCGCACTGACTTGAACTGAGCATTTCAGGTTTGTGGCGTCACCAGTTCAACTAGTAACTGATTTGGAACAATAAATATTCTGACACAAACGAACGGGGTGTTTTATTGTATGATTTTTAATTTGTGAGGAAAATTATCATCATTTATATTCGGAAATCGAATTTGTTTTATCAAGTAATGAAGATAGTGAAGAGGATTGTGACGAAAGCAAGTACAGGTTGAACCTGAACTAAACAGTTTGAAACAAACTGCACTCATAGACAGTTCATTGCCATAACACAAAAGAACGCCCCAAAGCAGAAAGTGCTGCTCCAAATAACGCAAACGTGTCGTTCGGGACAGCACTTCCCACTTTGGAGCGTTCGTTTGTGAGCGTTTTATATGGGTGTATCTGCCATAATCTGAAATATTACAGCTTAGTTCAAGTTAGTGCGACACAAACAAACAAACCTTTGAATACGAATATTAGGCAATTTTTCGCGAGGATAATCAAGCATAATCTGATTAGGCTGGGTTATGATGTAATGTGTCATACTCCCTACTGCCCTAACTCCCTGTCCAACAAATTCTGGGCCTGCGAATGACTTAACTATCAACAGCCTATAATGATGACGTGACCCGCAGACCTCAATGGAATGCTTGCGATTCAGGCTGTGGTAGTGTAACGATGTTACGTAAATTTCCTGGGGTTGAATATGTGATTTCGATATCATTTGGTTTTCTTTCTGGCTTGACTATATTTCGATGCGCGATATTCCGGAACCGCCGCGCGCTGTAGTCAACAACAAGTCCTCGCGTCAGAAATGGGCTACACCAGCCGTGACAATAAAACCGCGGCACCCAAGCTATAGGAGGCAGATGGACATCGCCATCTCACTGTTTCCGGTGCACCAGCAGCAGCAGAGCCAGAGCGACCATCACCAGGTAAAGTTTCTAGTTTCTTCCGACGCCGACGCCGCTTCCACGTCATCACGCCAGATTCTAATGATGCCGCGATACTGAAAAAATATCGATATTGGGATCGATCCGGATCAATTTTTTTTACACCGATCACAGTCTCCTATACTATAAACTTAAATGTAGGAGGCTGTGCACCGATTCATCTTAGTATCGGCTTCCAAAGTATCGATTAAATATCGACGATCTTCGATCAGAAACCAAGAGTTCTTTTCACGTGGCTCCGGTTCAACTAACCGGGTTACAAAACGGTTAGAGCAATGACATAACGTTTTCTAACCCGGTTACAAAGTGACGAGATGGATACCTACCACTCGAATTTCAGCAGTATGTTGCGGTTTGTTAAACCGGAGCCACGTGAAAAGGGTTAATGCCTCTTCTACTCTACTAGTAAACATGTCAGTCAGCGACAAGGATGATACACAGCTACAGGATTACTTATCGTCCTCGTTTTTGCTTTCGCCGCCATATTGGTGAGTCACCATTTCCGACGTCATAACTGGGTCGTCAGCTGCTTAAACAGTCTACGTCAGGGCGAGGAATAACATGCAGCCTACGTCACTAGTGATTTGGGGATAAGGAAGGGATTTGTTCCACACAGGCCTTATGAGGATAGGCTATCTTGTAGCAGCAGTGTGTATCATCTATGAGTCAGCGACGCGTCAAATTATAAACGTCAATCATGATAAACGTCAATTTCAAACATACAAAAATGGCATTTTTAGGAGATTTCATTACTTGACTTGACTTCCGACCAGGCCCCCTATTCTTGAAACGCTGTGTCTAGAATCCCGGTACCGGTACGGTAACACATTTTTTGCCGGTAGTTTTGATGACGTCATCGATATGACGCACTCGTACCGGGATTTAAATGAATCCCGGTGTTTTGATATTGTTTTTATCGTTATTTATCAGCTGATTGGTATTTTAGGTTAGTTTATTAATGTTTTCGTTACTTTTTTGAAACATTTTAAACTATAACAGTTACGTTTAATTTCGAAATACCTTATATAAATGAATTACGTTCGGAAATACCGAACAACTCATCCCAGATTAGAACTAATCTGCAATAAGATGATAGTAAACTAGGGTTGTTGTTTCCGAAAACCCCTGAGAATTTAATTAATATTTATTAATTTACTTCAAGCCAATGTGTAACTATACTGTTTAGGATGTAAATTAAAATAAATATCTCTCATTTTTATTTATAAGTTTGCAATCAGAACAATACCAAATTTTAAGTATTTTACACAAACTGGCACATTTCACATGTCAAAGTCTATTCAACTTCTTTATAGTTTTTAAATGTTTTGTCCTACATTAAAAACCATGTTGAAATAAGTTATTTCACGTTGATAAACTCACGAAAACACTCCACTTCATGTTCACACATCAACAAAACGAGTTAAAAACATAAAAAGTTAGGTTAAGTTGGACTTTGATAAAACAGAAACTGCCAACGACTCGATCAATGACTAACCTTTTTTTTTACCGTTATTTGCTAAATCGCTTAAATCCATCTTAAATCCCGGGTACCTAGTACGTCATATGGGTGACGGCGTCAAAACTACCGGTAAAAAATGTGTTACCGGTACCGGCGGTACCCGGGATTCTAGACAGAGCGTTCTTGAAAATCATACGATCCGGTGTTTCTTTCGTACGATGGGTTCTATCCCGTGCGACCTGTCGACTCCCACGATCGAAATCGACCAATTCTTGAATCTACGTGTGAACGTTCAAAATTATTGCACTGTTGCAGCAGCATTATTAGATACAGAAGATCTACTTTTAGGCATTTTCAACCTTTTTTTTTGGTACGGTTGTCATCATTTTCTGTCATTTCTGTCATTCATGTTTTTTGATTTTTTTTTTTTCATAAATTATTTCAATAATAGACACTTTAGGCAGGTCCTGAATTTCAAACGTATCCGTATCCGCATGGATCTGCGCATATGCGCAGAATAGATACGGCGGTTTCGTTGCGTTGCGTTGTCCGTATATAAATCTATGCCGCTCACTGCTGGAAAAACTATACATGTTGGTAAATTATCCGGATCAAAAATATATCGATACTAGTGAGAAATGGGGCTTCACACACGTACAAAATTTTCTCTACTACTGAAAATATTACCATAAATTTTAAAAAAATATATCACAACTCTACACCCCATCAGTGTCTTAAAGAAACTTACTCCACAACCTAGGATGTACTTAAAGTAAATATCACATTTTTAATGCAAACAAAGGGCAGCAAAGAGTTTTATAATACTATGATAATATCAAAGTCTATATCTACTTGTGGGTATTTCTGAATTTTTGTAAAGAAACTAAATACAATAACAATTTATTAAACTTTTTCAACGATTTTTTAAGCACTAGTGTGTAAAGTACTTAGGGCCGAATTTATAGTCGCTCCTTGAGGTTTCCTCAGACCTTAAGGGAGCCTTGAACGTTTAGAATTGACATGACTAACTTGTCAAATAGTAGCAAGTGTCCATTCTAAACTCACGACCTCCAAGAAAGACTCAAGGAACGACTAAAAATTCGGCCCTCAGGTACCTACGCACGGTAGTAGAAAAAAAAATCCTTTTTAGCTCAAAATTCAGGTTCTTGGTCGTAATACCTGAAAAAAATTGTTGTCTCCGGCGGGCATGTTGAGGAGCGGGAAACAGCAGATTTTCTATTTTTGCCCAGAGCGGCCAAAAGCCTAGCGACGGCCCTGCCTAAAACGATCTGTGAAATTCGAAAAACGAAAAATATACAGGGTGTGCCATTTAAAAAACAAAAGTTCCGGTCATTTCCGGTGAAACCGGAAGTCAGGAAAACTTGTCATGGATGCATAAAAATGGCGTTTGGTTAGAATATCAACCCTACTAAGTTTCGTTTGTAGCGCTACTTTGGTTTTCCAGTGAAAAGCGGTCGGTTCGGGGTTTTCGGAAAACTCGGGCGCCACCCTTAGGATTTGAGTGGTTAAGGGCCCACGTGCACTAGGTAGCTTTTAAACAGTGGAGACGAAAAAACCAGATGTCAATATGCGCATCCTCAAAATGAAATACAGAATCCAACTCACAAATTAAAGTTTTATTTGCCCAATAACATAGGATAATTAGGAACAGTGAAAATGCAATTAAATGAGAGACGAAGAGCGGGGAGAGTGGAATGAAGCCGGTGAGAAGAATGTGTAAATACAATGTACCATCGTCACCAAAACTAACTGGGTCAGCGACATATTAGCTCTTGTACTATTATATGACTTTTAGGGTCAAATATTTGTCAAACTGAATAAAATGCATTGAAATGAATGACAGTAAAACTAGTCCAGGAGATTATTATGAATTATTTTTGTCCCAGATACTTTTGGTGACGATGGTACGTGGCGGAGACTCGCGGTAATAAGATCGCGGGAAAATAACGGTATCGGTCAATAGGATTGCGGAAAAACAATGGTTTCAGTAAATAGCTCTGCGGATAAATAACGATTTCGGTAAATAGCTCCAAGGAATTATTGATGCTAGGCTTCCATACTCCTACCACCTTCAGCTCGTACTCCAGGCGCATGCGCGAACTATGCAACTGAGTAGAGTGCAGGTTCGAAGAAAAAGAGAAGGACGGAATTAGAGGGGTTCGTCACTCGGTATCGGTTCGGTCGGAGACGTCCCCACCAATCTTCTACGGAGAGAATAGAGCCAAAACGCTATTCGATCCGCAGTCCAGAACATGACATAAGTATTGGAATGAAACCAAAGAGATACCCCGTAATCGGCCCGGCAGACGCTCTCTTGGCTCGTCAT